AAAAAAAAAAAAAAAAAAAGTAAAATAATAAATATCCACAGGTAGAGTCCATATAAGCAAAAACTTTATAGGGTCTTCAATTTTTAAGAATAAAAAGTCCTAAGACCAAACAATTTCAAAACCACAGCTCCAAGCTGAATATAATTATCCCAAAATCTTAATGCAGTTTCAAGCTTTAAATAATCTAATCTGCACTATCTGGATAGAAATAGAAAAGTTGCAAGGGTTTTCAAAGCCATATGTTGACTAAATGCCCTGAAATATATGCAGCAGTCCCCAAGAAGAGAATTCCAAGGTAAGATTCTCAGTTGGTCACGATAAGCCTAAATTAAAGTGAGCTACAATTTCTCATCAAAATAAATGGAATTAAGGTAGGTGGAAAGGTGAAAGAGAAGATACTGGATTTAGGAAATCTGTACTCTAGTACACTGGCCATACATGTTTCTTAACCTCCTCTGAGTCTCCCCTTGGAAATTGCTATGTTGGACTAGTGGGTTTTTGATGCCCTGAGATTTGGTAATTGTAAGTAGCTAGGTTTTTTTATCTTTAATATGTGTTTAGCTGTTTTAATTAATAATTATATGTAAGCTAAGTAATGACGGTAATCTAGACCCTAATCCCCTTGAAGGGACACTCCTATAATAAAGATGGCAGTCTACCCTAACAAGATAAGGGCAGTTGCAGAGCCTCAAGTTAATATAAACAAAACATTCACGTGTTTTAAGGGTTTGTTTGTTTTAACTAGTGTGGGAGACTTGACTTCAATCAAGTCTCCAAGTTTGTCCTTCCTTTTTCAGAAACCTCAGATTGTACAGTTAGTGTATTTCATATAGGAGGTTTTACATTTCCTCCTAGTTACCTTTTGTTGATAATTGGATAGATGAGTTCACCCTTTATCGTGCTGAGACAAGAAATAGCCAATATGCTTTATAGTTAAACAGATCTTTCTGGGTTGATATTGCCTCCAGAAACAAATACGGACCATCCACAGACAAGGAAGAAAGAATTTGGTCAGGACTAGAATGATGTGGTCCTCTGGATTATTTATAGTGGTCTCCTCAGCTGTCTTTTATTTATATCTTAGACAAGAAAGAAACCTTTGTGAAGATGTTTGCAAATTAAATCACTAAAATAAGAATCAGTCATGAATCTCTTGTAAATAGGTAACATGCAAATTTTCACCAACCAACAACAGAGAAATCAAACTAAATTTTAAAAGACAGTTCTTCCTGGGAATGGTGGTGCACACTTGCAGTCCCATCTGCTTGGAGGACTATAGAAGGAGGATCCCAGGTTTCAGGCCAGCCTGAACAACATAGACTTTGTCTCTAAATAAAATTAAAAGGATTGAGTATGTAGCTCAGTATTAGAGCACATCTGGGTTTAATCCCCAGTACTTTAAAAAAGAAAAAAAGACTATTCTGATTTATATTCTGTGCCTCACAAAGATTGGTTCAGGCTTTAAACATTATGTCTTTATCATAACCAGCCTCTTCGTATTCTGGCTTATTCATTTTATCACAGTTACATGTGGCTTATTTTGTATTGTATTACTAAAAGTAACTATCAACAAAGTACATGACAAATACAAGTAAACATGGCCTTCACCACCATATGTCTTCACAATATGCCATAGTAATGTTTAGATCTGGCTCCCAGTTGTAACACTGTGCTGCTGACCTAGGCGCAGTCTGGGCATTGAGAGGTTCAAAGGCTCCACACATGATTCTGATTTGCAGCTGTAGTTGTTATTTATCCTTATGAGATGCTTTCCTCACTGAGACTAATTACCTTGTCCTGTCCTACAGCCATTTTTGTAGTTAGTAGAACTTTTGCTTTCGAATTGATGTTTTCATTAATATCCTTGCAGCTTCTTCAGTTCCTTCCAAATGAAACAGTACAGGAGATGCAAGGTGAAGGAAGAAATCTCTTAAGCTAATTTTTAACCAGTCAGTGGTTGTTTTTCCTGCGGTGATGCACACCTGTAATACCAGCACTTTGGGAGGCTGAGCTAGGAGGAATGCAAGTTCAAGCAACTTAGCAAGACCCTGTCTCAAAACAAACAAATTCGAAAGTGCTGAGGATATAACTCAATATAAAAGCCTTGGGTTAGGGCCTGGGCTTTAGCTCAGTGGTGCCCCCACCTGCCTCGCAAGCGCAAAGACCCTAGTTGGATCTCTGGTACCCAAAAAAAAAAGCCTTGGGTTCAACCCCAGTACTGGGAAAAAATAAAAACCTAGTTGTGCAATGCAGACTGAACTATATAAAAATGTGACAGATGTGATTTGGTCTGTTTCTTTGTACAAGAACGAGCAACCAAAAGATTCTTTAAACCATCTTTTACTAAATCTACCTGCTTTTGCTTTTGTTAATAAAGCATCCATGGTCTGTTTATACCATGGCTTACAAGGGGAAGAGTTTATCATCCTTGAAATTCTACTGTTATTTTCTAAGGTACCCTGAGATGAGGAAATTATTTTGTGCCAGTGGAAAACTTAAGTTTTAAGACAATTACTGCAGTAGCTGTGCCTGCCCCCAAACCGCTTATTGCCACAGGTCTAGCATTTCTTTGCTGCATCAGGAATGGGAAGTGGGAACAGACTCTTGTAGGGTAAGTTGTGGGAGAATTCAAATAGTAATGACAGTATTTTTGAAGAAGGAGGTGACTGATAAAATTATAAAATCTTAGTGATGCATTTTGGAATCTCAGTACAAATAGCGTCTTTAAGGGTTCATAATGGGTTTTATTTGGCCATTAATAAGAGAATTAATTATATAATAGATTTTAATGATTAAACATTGCTCTGGGAATTACAGTTTGCATTTTCAGTCTTTATTGAGTTGAAGTAAAGAACTAGAATATTTTTCTCCTTATGTCTTAACAGGCACCAGAAGTAATCAGAATGCAAGATAAAAACCCATACAGCTTTCAATCCGATGTATATGCATTTGGGATTGTTCTATATGAACTGATGACTGGGCAGTTACCTTATTCAAACATCAACAACAGGGACCAGGTACATTTTTGTCATTTCTGAAAGTTTATTTTGTATATGTATAAATACTCCTATTAGGGTGGGGGATTTAGCTCAGTAGTTCCACCACCTACCCTGCAATTGCAAGGTCCTGAGTTCAATCTCTAATGCCAAAAAAAACAAAGACTCCAGTGAATTGCAGAGAGGAAGGATTGAGTCCTAGGTAAACTTGAAGGATAGATCTCTTGATCTTTGTGACCAGCTTTAGAATCTTTTGTGTGCTCTTAACAGTAATAGCAGTATGGAAAGCCTTCTTTAAAAATTATTTTTACCATTTTTTTTTTCATTTATTTTATGGTAGCATTATCCATTGCTTTTCAACAGTAATGTCAGGTTCTTCCGCTTGTCCTTTAGTTTTGTTCTTTGGTTAGCTTTACCACTTGGATTTTGCTTGACTACCTTTTAATTTATAAAAACACTCACTTCCCTCCTGATGTGGAGGAGGAGGGAGAGAGCCTCCCACCCTCTGAATGTGTAAGCAACCCTCTACACTGGGCAGCGACAGTGGGTTCTGTCACATGTGTCACCATGCTGGCACATTGTCCTCAGACAGCCCACCCAAGGCCTCACCTTCATAGGACCAGTTGTTGTCAAGGTCTGTGTCAAGGCTTGCATCTCCTGCAGTCCTCCATCCTCTTCTTCCAAACTCTCTACTTCATCCTTAGGATCTGGGAAGTTCTTCATCATTTCCTCAAACTCTTCAATTACCTGATCTGCTGTGAGTAGAGGCTCCTCGTTGATTCCAGAGCCATTTTCACTCTTCTCATTGAACCCTTCCTCTTCCTTCTAATGGATCTCGGTGTCAGAACTGTTCCCATTCAGAGCCTTGATGTTTGGGTCCCTCCATTCTTCCAAGAGTGAAGGGATATACTGTCTGTCAGTGCATCCTCCTCATCCTGAAGGGTCTCCTCCTTTGGGCAGTAACTGTTTCTTCACCAGAGCAAGATTCTTGGTCTTGGCATTGTAGTTCCAAAAGCAGACACTGAGCTTCTCATCAAATTCATTCATGAGATCCTCCATGGACTTGAAGCTAATTATTTCCGAAGAAAAATTCTCCAGCTCAAAGAGGGAGGGAGGGGTCCTCGAGATGGTGGAGAGATGACTCATAGAAACAACTGGGCTCCTCTTCTCACTCCTCCTAGCAGCAGAGAATGAAGGTCCTCAAAATCTTCATCCAAACTCATATTAATGGGTCCTCCATTCTTGCAGCACAAGAATGGCAGCTTTCAGGATTTGATTCTCTGTGTAGTGAACTGGAATCTCTGAAAGAGGCATGAGACCTTGGCTTGTTCACAGACTTTCCAGAAACAGTTCTTCCCAGAGAATGTGAAACAGGGATGTTGTCCCCTGAGATAAGAATAGTTGGTCATATGCTGTAAGGCCTTTCTTTGAAATGTTGCAGTGAAATGAAATTCCTGATTTCGCACCTAAAAATGAGAGAAACAATGAATAATGCCTCAGGTTTTTTGTTTTGTTTTTTTTTTACCATAGCACTGCTAAAGTAATGAGCTCTGGTACTAGAGCATCAGTGTTTTAATCCTTTTGCTATAACATGGACTGTGCTATCAGATTATGTACTTGGCTATGTTTGTCTTTATGTCAAATTCTTTTAAAATTATTGCTGGGTGTGGTGGCTCACTGCTGTAATCTTAGCACTCAGGAGGTTGAGGCAGGAGGATTCCCACAAGTTCAAGGCCAGCCAGAATTACGTAGTGAGACCCTGGTTCAAAAAATAATAATAGTAAAAGAAAATAAAAATACTGTTTGTTTGGGGTTTTTTTTTAACTATAGAAGGACTATTACAATATGCTTTGGTTTTTCTATTTTTAGAATTGTAGTAAAAGGATAATTTTTTTCCATTAAGTTTATTGGTACATTTTAGACATACAATAGCTACATTCTGCATTGGGAATTTGTACCCTTACATGATGTATCTTAAGGTCTTATATTTTTCCCCCATTCCCATGCTCTCTCTTTACCCCTCCACCCTCCCCTATTTACAGAGACTTTGTTTCCATTTTTTTCCTTTTCTCATATTTTTTCTTTTCCCTTTCCTTTCCCCTACCTCTCCTATTTCCCCTACCCCTTTAGAGCTTTTCTTCCTTTTTCATAGTATCAATTATACATTTTGATCCTTATTTACACTTTTAGTTTCTCACAACAGAGAAACTATTTGGTATTTACACAAGTGTGTCCTACTTATTTCACTTAAGAGTATGGCCTCAAAAAGGATTATTTTTTTACTTTTTCCTTCCTAAGGTAACTATTTTCTGTCCCTTATATTCTATCTACTTTTTTTTTTTTTTTTTTTTTTTTTTTTTTTTGTACTGAGGATTGAACTTGGGACCTTGCAACTTGAGAGACAGGTAGTGGCACCGCTGAGCTAAATCCCCAGCTGTCCCTTATATTCTAAATGATACCAGTGTACTCTCATGCACCTGTTTGCCTTTTCCATCTTTTCACAATAAATTCAGTTAGGCTTTTAAAACTCACCAAGTAAAGTGAATTGTCTTTACTGAAATTATCTTGGATACTTCAGCATTTTAAAAATATGTGTGAGTACATACATGTGCGTGTGTGTGAGGAGACGTATTTCAGAGAGTAAACAGCTTACATATTGCAAAACAATAGTTGGCCATGTAAATATAGAGAATGTTTAGATTTTATACTTTGGTTTACATCAGAATTCCCTAGAAAATTGCTTTAAAATGAGTATATTAGAATGGATTCTGATTGAATAGGGTAAGGTCCAAACACTTCATGTTTTTTAATGCTTTCCATGTGATTCAGATGCATCCCGGGATTGAAAATCACTAAAGCATAAAAACAAAAGAGTGTGAACTTTTTTTTTAATTTCATCATGATCTCCCAGTGTAATGATATGGTAGATTTTGTGTGTAAATAGGTTACTTCGTTTAAATGGTGTATTTCGTTTGGTGAGTAGTAGCTCAGCACTCCAGGCTTTCAGTAATAGCTCTGAATAGCTGTCCTCCAACTGTCATGTGACATCAGAGAAGTAATTCAAGTTATCCTATATCTTGTGCATATTTACCAAATCACAGTATTACCTGTAACCAAGAGGGGTCTTGATTCTGTATTTTAAGTATTTTTTCTAAATGACTACTTCTATCTGGTTAATCATAAAACTAAATTTTAATTGATTTTTGGTCTAACAATTTCATTGCTTTAGAATGTTAAGTCTTGTCTTTGAGTATTAAACAACATAGCGCTTAAGTTCTGATGATCAGATGTGTGTTAAGCCTGCATTAAATTTGTATTAGGGTGGATAAAAACATAATAAACATTTCATTTACTGTACTATTGACAGATGTTGATCACTGAGATGATTAACTTGATGAAGGCAGCCTGAATTGCGAAATTGTCTTAAATTGCCAACCTCTGCTCTACCTTTTTCAAGTAGTCTTGCCATATTAATTTGAACACACAGTATAATACCCTGTGTCATGTTCATGTTTCCTATGTGTATTATTTTTCTGGAATAATTGCTATGGATTTTATTATAGTTTTAGTTAATTTATCATATAGACTTATCAAGTTAATCACATAGGTTATCATTTATCAAATTGATAAAAATGCATGAACCTAAGATCTGTGTGAAATCCATTTGTCACTAACTTTAACAAAATTATACTGTAGAAACAAGTACTATTATCTCCAAAATATGGATGCATGTAGCCCAGAGTTCTATACTCACCCACTTCTTGGCATTTTAGGTGCTTTATCCTCTATGGGAGTATAATAAATGGTGTGGCAAGGACTTACTCTCCCTGAGAGGAGTGAGTGACCAGCAGAAGGGTAAGGCCTTTCTGGTAGTACAGTTAGAGCCCCTGAATTTGACAGTCTGAAAGAAAGTTGAGTGTTTGGTAGAGAAGGACGAGATGAAAGAATGATACCCTCTTCCCATGACCCCTGTTCTACTACCCTACACCCTGCTTTCTTCAAGCGGTACTTTCTGTAGACCTCCTCATTTTGAAAAGATAACTCTGGCCACCCTCAGTGAATTAACCCCAGACGCTGTTCTTTCCATCCATTCTCTTGCTTTGAGTTTTCTTGCCCTTGCTCTAAGCGCTTGATGTCCATGGCTCTCAGCTGAGACTTGCATTTGAGAATCCAGGAATATCTTCTTTTTCATGGGAGATGAGATACTGCTTCTTCACTTGTAGTACCACTGCCCTCCACCCTCTCCCCATACTCTGAGGGGCGGGTTTTGCCTTTAAATTCAAAGCAGAGCTCTGGTAAAGCACTGTGAGATAATTAATCACAAGCTTTGGACTCATTATCTGTTCATCTTCCTCTCCAGGTATTTTTACTTGTTTTCGACTATGAAAATAAGAAATTGGACTAAAGACTTTATTTCATTTCTAAAACTCATACTATTTACTAAGTAGGCCTCCAGCTGTCTAGACCTTCTCTGAGATCTGGAAGGATGACCATCTCAATGTCATTATTTTGCAAAGTGGCACACATTTCTTTTTTCCTTCCTTTCCCTGGTGTTTAAAGTCTGAGAAATCATTTTCTTTCCCCCCGCACCCTTTCTCATTCCACTTTCTTCTCTAGTCACCTTAGTCTTTCCTCTTTCAGCCTAGCTTCTCTACTAAATCAGGATTAATAAATATTTACATAATATAGCACTTATTTTAACTATATTCCAGTTATTAGTATATAACAAGTCACCCAGAATGTAGTGACTGAAAACAAATTAGGAATCTTAAATTTGAGCTGTTCACTTGAGGAAGGTTTATGTGTATTTCAAAGGTCTCAGCTGGAGTACTTTCACTGGGTGCTAAAAGGTTCTGCTTCCAGTATGGCTCATTCATATTCCTGGCACACCAGTGTTCGCTGTCAATTAGAAGTTCAGTCAGGGGTGAGGATGAGGGACCTCAGTTCTCGATGTGGGCCTTTCCATGAGGACCTCTTCACGGGCTGCTTGTTCTGTCTCGTTGGCATGATGGCTGAGTTCT